CTCCCTGCGCAGCCCGCCGTGCCTCCCCCGCGCTCCCCGGGCTCCTCGGCCCCCCGGGGTCCGGGGACACGCCTCGCCAAAGCGGTGCTGCATCGGCGGCGTGGCCGTGCTGGAGCTGCCAGACAGCTTCTCCCGTGAGGATATGATCAGAGCATCAGCGCCCGGGCACCGCTGCTCACAGACCCCGCCGAAGGTGTCTGCCCGCGCCTGCTGCGCCCAGCTGGAGAGGGCGCAGCACGGGCCTGGAGGTCCTGAGGGAAAAGGGCGATCTCTGTCCAGGAATGCCGTGTTGCAGCTCCCAGGCCCCGCCTGACACAACTAGAACTATTATGCAATTAAAGTGTCTACAGCTGGGGTAAATAAAATTGATTCTAATTAGAGTTTAGCGTTAAGTATACATTTACTTCTGGTTATATTTATTCAGGATTTTCCCCCAACTGGCCATACAGTAATGTGTTTTGATTTTGAAAGTAAACAAAAGATGCCTAACTCAACTCATTAAAACTCCCTTTGTGGGATCTCAAGAACAAGCCTGTCTGTGGCACCATACAGCATTTTGTGCTCAACCCCTACGTCACATTCCTTCTTGGTAGGTACCACTAATACTACTAACTTAGTTATTTATTCTAATGAAATAGTTGTTGCAATAATACATTTGTGAATGGCCTAGTACTGCTAATTTCAAGGGTTTTTTTGTTTGTGGTTTAGATTTTGTTTGTGGTTTTGTTTTGGTTGGGGGGAATCGGCAGAGGAAGAAAGAATGAAGAAACATAGAAATCAAAGCAAAATCTTTATAATGGTATCCACAAGATTTTGAATGTGTTGTACAGACATTGGATAAAAATTTGGTCTATGTTGTTTTCAAAGTCCTAAGATACATACAGGCAACATTTATGCAATTTCCACTCAGCATGCAGATAATCAAGGAAATGTATGTGTTTACAAAAATATATAGAGAATGTCAATGACTGATGCCTTATGCTGTAGTATTTCCAGGAGTGAGGGATGAAATACCCAAGAACCAATCTCCCTGCTGAGAAAGAATAGGAGCAGGAAAATAGTTGATTTTAGCAAACTTACAAAACGCTGAAGAAGCGGAGAAGACTGATAGCAGAATTGAAAGGTTTAATAGTCAATCAGCTTTTTTCTACAAATTGTGTGTGGGGATAAAGGGAAGACATAAGTTCTTCTCAAAAAAAACAAACAAATAAAACAAAGAAAAGCACAGAACTAAGATAGTTTATTAATAATTTACCCTGATTCAATTTACCGCATGAATAGTTCTCCTTTCCCATTTAACAGCGTAGGAAGAACTGGCGGTGTTTGCAACACAGCTCAGGTCTGTCTTGCTCAAGAGATCACCTGTGTCATCAGATTGTATTTCTGCACCTCTGTTTTTCAAAGTAATTCAGGCTGGTGCTCCTCAGTTCACAAAGAGAGAAGAACAATGATAGGTGTGTTCTCTTAAAGCAACTTTAAGATGAATGTAAGCCATCCCGTCAGAAAGTAATCCTGGTCTGGGAGCTTTCAAAACATACCATGTGGTCATGTATATGGAAAGTGAATTTTGGGGGTTTCCCAACTGGGGTGTTATAAGAATAATGTTACTTTAGTCTGTTTAATTGTACTTAACCTACTTAGATAACAGGAAGTTTTTATTTGAAGTTTATTAAACAGTTGAAAGTTCTAAATTCAGTAAAATGGGTTTTTTTCTGGTCAAAGGAGTAGACGGCAGGTTTCACTACATATCTTTTTACAGCAAACTAGACAGAAACAAGCTCCCCATAAGTTCGTTTTTGAAAACTTATGAAGTTAAATTGACTTTCAGTGATACTTAGGTTGGAAAGCCATTGAGATACCTTTCTGAATTTTTACCTTATACCTCATTAATTAAAAAAAGGCACTAAAATCTGTCAGACAGGAAATATAGACCTCTAAGGACATCAAATTGCTAGCTGGAGATCAATTTTTTTCACAGCTACTAAAAACCAAAGACACATTTTACAACTCTTTAGTTTGAAGTGTCAAGCCAAACTGAAGTTTATCTGAACTATATTTTATTGCTAGGTCTGATAATGAAGTGGATCACAGCACACCAGATTGCAGTTTATTCAAAGACAGAACAGGTAACAATCATTATGTATTTTTGCCAGTGCCATCCAAATTCATCGTATTATCATGTGGAAATGAAGTCAAAAGGCAGCCGATGCAAACAATTGAAGGAAAAACTCCAAACTTTGCACATGCTTATTCAAAAATTATTAAATCTTTTAAGAATATGCAGTAGAATGAATAGTCAGTGTGAGCACAATTACAATGAATTACTCTTCTGAATTACCTCACAATAAAGTAGATACAATAATTTAAGTTAATATTAACTATGTATGTGTGAGTATACATAGGACCTCATACGTCAAAAAATTGGAATAGTCAAGAGTTTTCTATTTCAGAAATTCAATTTGCTTTCAAATTTCTTTACTGGTTCATTTGCTTTACATATGGGTAAGGGTTCCTGAACTGCTGATGAGCATTAAAAAAAAGTAAAAAAATAGGGACTTTCTTCTATAATCTAAGTATTAGATTAGTTCATCTCTTTCTCTGAAAGTAGAATTATAATTGACAATATAAGTAATAAAGAAGCAGCAGTACATGTGCAAAAAAGAGAGAATGGCCCCACCTCCTTTACTGTAGTTTACTTAATTCTTTCTTTGAATACAGTCTGTACCCAGGCTCCATCTGATCTCTGCAAGCTGTCCTGTGGATATCAGTTCTTGCACCTTGTGGTTCATGGTTTGATTATGGGGTAACTGAACATGCTCAAAGCTCGTTTCCATGTAACAACACTCACATGATGTACTGGGCTTTGGCCAGTGCTGCGTCCAGGTGAAAGTGGCTACACCCTCCCCTTGTACAGGCCAGCCCTGAAGACTCCCTCACTGTCAACAACTTGCCATATAATCCAGAAAGGAATTGTGCATCAGCAAGTGCACAAGTCACTGTAGATCACCTTCAGACTACCCTACACACAGCAAAAGACTCAGCTGTCCAACACACAAATGGTTGATCTCTGTGGTAAGTCCCTGATTTCAACAGGATTTTTGTCTCTCCACTCATACAACTGAATAAACACTGATTTTATTAAATTGAGACAATTCTTGCAGATTAGTTATTAGTCTATATAAATCAAATAAATCAGCTTCAGTTAAAAAAAATACATCAGTTCTTACTTATTTTTTTTTTCAAGATATTAGTTTTGTAAACTCAGTGAGCCTATGACCTAGGAGAGTTCAGTGTGAGTTCCAAGTGTAAAACAAATTCTGCCTTATGCTATAACCGGGTTTATGACACCCACATTGCAAGTTCTTAGTTCATCAAAACACATCAAGTTAAATTATGTATGTTACAACTCTAGTTCATATTAGCCTTCTTGGTGATGCTGTAAAGAAGAAATAACAGAAAATATAACTCAGGGTAAATGCCATGGAAGCTAGCATAACTTCACTGAAAGGTCTCTATCATTAATTTGGGATAATTTTAAGCAATATAATAAAGTATAAAATAGCAGATGAACACAGAAAAAAAAAATGCTTAAATTGAAACAAATAGCAAAGAATAAAATACAGTCTAGAATGTCTATTGTCTTCTTTCTTCCTTGTGGTGCTAACAAAACTGACAGAGAAATTGACTCTATAACATGACTATAATTTTCTCCTCTCCACATGGAGGTAAACACCAGACATTATATTTTTTGCTTGCGTGTGTTTGAATTTCTACCTCTGCTGTTCATTCTGACCTTTATGTTATCCATTGATGGTAGGTCAAACACTTCCACAAAAATCTTCTCTGTGATCATGGCACAGTCTCCATTCATCTGCTCTCTTTAACCTTACTGCAATCAATAAGCCTGAATTTATTTTTCAACATCATCTCCAAGATTTAGAACTGTTCCTTTTTATATAAAACCTCTGTTTACATGGGTTCCTGATTTCCTTTTCACCTGATACAAAAGAATTCCTTTTGTACCTTTCTTTAACTTTTTCCCTTTCTGCTTATTGTTTCCAGTGTCCGTTTCCAGTATGCACGTCTGCCTTTAATAAAGATTTCTCCCTTGAAGGATGACAAGAAGAAGAAGAACTAATGGACAAACTGTGGTAAAAAGAAGGTGATATGTGGTTTAGAATAATAGAACTACAGTTTCCAGACTCCTAGGACTCTTCTTTGAGCTAATCCTTCAGTTCATAGTTATGGGCCAATTATTCAGCACAGCAAATTAGAGGAGTTGGTAGTCTCACGGAGCTTTAAGCATGTAAAAACCACACATGGAGTCTAGTCCAGTCACCACAGACAGCCTTTACAGTCAGGAGGTTGAAGCATGTTCTTGCAGCTGTTTATTCATCTGACCTGCAAGTACCTAGCTTTGGTTGAGATGAGTCATCCTATGGAAAATTTGATTTCTCTCCACTGGATATAAAGTCAGTAACTAGATTAAACGTAAGCATCTATCTTGTACATAACAACATTAATACAAATGAATTCAAACAGAATGCTCAAAATAAAATGACAGAATTTATTTGAGAGAAAAAAAAAGATGAGAGATGCATACATATAGTTTATCTAAGTTGTAAGTAAATGTACAGATGCACAAAAAAAATACTATATCCAAATGAGAATAAAATTGTTTAGAGGATGCAAAGGATGTAATGTAGAAATAAGATTATATGACAAATAAGAAAGTATATTAAATATAACAAGTTACTTTTACCATTTAATTTAGCAAGTAAACTTTCATGAGAATTAAAAAGCAAAGAAAGGGAAGCTTGTACGTATGGATACAAGAAAGCTGATAATACATATACTTCTGCTTTTCTGTGAATTTATTTTCTTTGTTTTGGGGAATTGGTGAGGTTTCTTTGGTTGGTTGGTTGGTTGGTTGGTTGATTTTGGGGTTGGTGGGATTTTTGTGGAGTTTGTTGGGGTGTTTTTTCAATGCATTCATAGCTTTTTATCTAGTTTTGGTTTAAGTTCTGTTCAGAGACTATTTATCTGTAATTGATTAATTAGCAGTTGAACATAGTTAACTTTTCTTCCTTAAGAAGAATACAATGGAGATAACTCTCTGATCTCAATTTTTTAATTGATCAGGTACACAAAGCTCAAATCCAGACAATGAGATAAAAATTATGTGTTATTAATCCATTGGTCTGTTGCAATTTTGCAGAACCTGAAATAAGGCCAATTCAGCAAATGATTTCATTTAAGTCTATGTATACATGTACAATGTATATCTCCAGAGAATTTAGCCTGTTCCAACATACTCATCAGAAATGTAGAAGTATAAATGGAAAATTCCAGACTAATCACTCACAGATGGTATTTCTCTGGCAATCTTAAAATGCAATATATAAAACTAGACAACATCCAAAGCATCAACAAACTGAACAAAGAAGAGAATTCTCCACTGAACAAGTTTCAAGGTACTTGAGCATATTAAAAGGTCAAAAAGAGCTCAACTAACTCTCCAAACCTCAGTCAGGCATTATGGCAATTTAATTCAAAGTGAAATAGGGAATGGTGTGACTCCATACAGCATCTTTATCATCTCATATACTTTTAAACATCAAGTTATATAACTGTATATTAAAAACACATTTGAATTGTATAATACTAGCAAACTTACAGTTTAAGAAAAATGCTACATGCTAAATATAGTATTAGAAGTTATTACCCTCCAGGACCTTTGAAGAGAGAAACCTTGGAATATTAAAAGAACCTAAATATCTGCACTTTCTTTGTACAAAACTCTTTTAGGCAGAACATTTCAGCAGAAACCTTAAGAAGCCCCTGTGTATCTAATTTAGGATTAAATGCAGGTGTTATCACCAATATGGATCAAAACAAAACAAAAAAAAATATGAAAAATAATTTCTTTCAACGATGTGTAGTCTAGTTCAGTAGATGAAGTAATATTCATCCCACTCATAAAGATTTGTCTGTTTTTAAAGAAGTCATAGAATCATTACTTCACATATGTTTCAGGCTCACTGGATAATAGCACAAATATTTTCTTGAAAAATCGCTGAAGGATAAAAAGATGGTTATAAGACAAAAAATAATTTGAAAACCACACTAGAATTTTATTAGCTGTAAATCATGGCACAATGTTTTAAATTATTTCACAATTTATTTTGATCAAAACTGAGCATATCTGAATGTAATATTTTAATTCATAGTAGGAGACAGATTTCGAGTTCACAAGAATAAAGAACAGTAACAGCTTTTTTAGTAATTTTTCCTCAAAGCTCTCCATGAAAAGGCTTTCAAATTAACAGTTTTTTCATTTAGATAAGAGTGTTTTGACTCCTAAAATATCCATAGTCCACAATGAGCATTCACATCTGTAAGATTTAGAAAAACCAATATGAACCCAAATTGTAAAACTTTCAGATCATGAAGAGTTTCAAAACTTACCCTTTCTCCTTGCTTCTTAATGTTAGCAAAGGCATTTAACTTTTCCAAGCTGTTTATTTTTTGGAGAATTTGACAGAATTTCATTATACTCCTCAAAGGTCTTTTAGAGATGTGGATAAAAAATGCAGAAGGTAAGGAATATCAAAAGATAGGAAATTTAAAAAGCAGACACTTAATAAGTTTGTGGGGGAAAAAAGTTTTTCCAGTGCCTGACCAGCTCCAATAAGAGTAATTAAAGTAATAAGAGTGAAATGTTAGAAACCCAGCAAATATTGTCAAATCTACTCACAGTGATGGAGTTCATTTGCCGTTTGTGCCAGAGCAAATGGATTTGCTTTATTTCAGGAGCTGGGCTGTATTAATCTCAACTATTGCAAAGCTCAGTTCACCCATGGAGCAAATGGATGATGATTCATTCTTTTCCTAAATAGAGTATTAAGTTCAGTCTCATCTTGCAATTATTTAATTTGCCAAATAAGTCATTCCAAAGCTCTAGGATCTAACTCCATGATTATATAATTTCTTTCAGAGAAGATGAAATTTAAGGATAGATTACCACGGTTACCTATGTTTAAGCACTGTCCCAGTTCAGTCAGTCTCATACTAATTTTATTTAATGACTGGACAACAATATAGCCTTCTGATCTTCATTTTATAGGATTTTGTTCTATTATTTTAAACCTTGAAATCTCAAGGACAAGTCAAACTTACAGATTTACCAAAAAAACAAATAATAATTACTATGCATTTATGTAAATTTAGTGCACCATACACAGATGGGAAATCAGAAGCTCTTAAAATAAAAACTTGTGAGAAACTTCACACAATATTACTTCCCAAACTACATAAGAGTCAGCTACCTGCGAGTTCCTCAAATATAATTACAATATTTTTTTTTTATTTTTAAAATATATAGCCTGATGAATTTGAGGAGATTTTTTCAAAATATTTTTTAAATTAATTGTGCAAAACTATATGTCCTAAGAAGGAGGAAAATCCCACATTATTTGTGCAGATCTAATTGTGGCCAGGGAAGAGTGGAATGAGAGGATGTGAGAGGAACAGCTCTGCAGGCACCAAGGTCAGTGCAGAAGGAGGGACAGGAGGTGCTCCAGGTGCTGAGATTCCCCTGCAGCCCCTGGTACAGCCCATGGTGAGGCAGCTGTGCCCCATGGAGAACCACCCACAGTCCATGGAGGAACTCCTGCTGGAGCGGGTGACTGCCTGAAAGAAGACCTTGTGGAAAGCCCATTCTGGAACAGGCTCCTGGTGGGACTTGTGGCCCCATGGAGTGAGGAGCCTGCACTGGAGCAGGTTTGCTGGCAGGACTTGTGACTTCATGGGGACCCAGAGGGGAGCAGTTTGTGACGAAGTGTGGCTCACAGAAAGGACTCATGTCCTCACGTGGAGGACTGTCTCCCATGGGAAGCACGCCACAATGGAGCAGGGGAAGGACTCCTCTCCCTAAGAAGGAAGTAGTGGCAGGAACAATGTGATGAACTAACCATAATCTCCCATTCCCTGTCTCCCTGCACTGCCCAAGGGCATGAAATAGAGAATGAAGAATGAAGCCCAGGAGGGAGGGAAAGGACAGGGAAAGGTATTTTTAAGATTTGCTTTACTTCTCAATTATCCTGTTCTGTTTTCAGTTGGTAATAAATTTAACGAATTTCCATAAACAGCTCTGGTTTTGCTGTGACATAAATGGTGAGTGACCTCTCCCTGCCATTATCCCAGCTTATGAATTTTTGTTATATTTCCTCTCCCCTGTTCAGCTGAGGAGAAGAGTGATAGAGTGGCTATGGTGGGCAGGTGGCATTCAGCTAAAGTCAAGAGTCTTCTGACTCTTTCCAGAGTTAAAGGAAGTCCCACTTTTCTTGTTCATTTTTTTTTCTTTTTCTTTTTTATATAAATACAAGTTAAATTAAGTTAAATAACTGGATTTCTTGTATTTAGTGTCTACACTGCTGCCTGTCTTCTGCTAACCAAATTGCTTTTTTATCCTCTTGTATTTATATCCTGGTAAACCTATAAGAATCATGTGTGTAGCTGAGAGAGCCTGCTGAATGTTAAATGCATAACGGCAAAAAAATATATGGCAAAAAAATATATGGCAAAAAAAAATAACTTTACATCTTCTTTTAAGCTCATTTCTGCTTATACCTTTTTCTAACATATACAGGAATTTCTACATTTAAATGCAGGAAAAATACTGGAAAACAGGTGTAAGGAAGGGACAAAATGAAATTTCTTAACAAACAAAGAACTTAGGTAGGTACATAAGAATAAGCTTAAAGCTGTGCTAAATAATGTACTGGCTCTTTCTCTTCAAGAGAGAGCAGGTGTCTTACCATGCTAGTCAGTTTTTCTCTGTAAGATGCAGAGAACTCAATCTCCCTCTTAGCTGATAATATGGTTTTCTCAAGTCACTAAAGTACTGGATGGAAAAATAATCAATTCATATTCTTCTGTCCTGAGTTATGTGTTTCTGCTGAACATAGGTTTGGATATGTTACCATAAAAAACTTTGTTTCTGATGGCTGAAAGCAACCCCTTATTTGGCAGAAAAACTGCACATATTCACATAAAATAGGACATTGGATAAAAAATCTGTACATTTTGCCAGCTGCCCTTGTTTCTGGTTTACAAATTTCCTGGTTTAAGCAGAGAGATTGTTCTGGTTTAAGGGCTGGAAGTAGGCAACTTCAAGAAAGAGCCGATACCAGCTATAGAATTTCTGCATTGACTCACCTTTCATTCTCCCAAGGTGCAGGGCTTTGGACATATGGATCTAATGGCTACATCTGATTAGACAGAGATGAAATCCTTTTGACAGAAACAGGAAAAGTTATCTGCATTTCTTATTTAGGACTGTAGGCTATGTTCTGATTAGAAGCTACATTATAATTTTATAAATCAGTTTTTAATTACTTAAGGAAGAAATTTCCAGTTGTTTACATGTTCGGGATTTTCCCTCAAATTATGCTTATTAAGAAAGAGCATGACTAAAAAGAAACACCACTTCCTCCTACCCAAGAGACTGTGTTGCAATCATCAAATTGTTGTTAACTTTCTTAGGCACCTTAGAAGAAATTTCTCACTTGGAAATAGTGGATTTTATTGAAATCCTCTTAACCTCATTGGGTTCCCTGCTTCTTTGAATTGATTTTATCTGGTTGCCTTCTGACCTTTCACAAGAAATTTTTTCTGGTTTGACACAAAGGGTAAGGATTAGTAGCAGTTGGAACTATCAATTACCCAAAACTCGCTTTGTCTATTCACCAAAATTCTTTGCAATTTTTCAGCACTCCTATGGGATCTTTTCAGTATTTGCAGGAATTCTGTTTGATCACTTGATGGTGGGAAAAGTTGTTTTTTTTACATCAGTAACTTGGTAGATGGTATATTTGATATGTGCTGTTATCAGGTTTGTTTTTAAAAAGCTTTTATAAAAATGAAGGAAGAGAGCTTCAGACTGGGCTGAGAGGAGGAAAGCCGGAACTCTGTGAGTTGATCAGTGTGGCTCCATAGGAATTCTTCACCAGTACCGGTGTTCTACTGTGTGCTTTTACCTGCTAAAGGTTGCTCAGGGAACAGAAATTCATCTTTGATAGAAGTAATAAATAATTGCAGGGTGGGAGGAGTAGAAAATAGACTTTACTTGAAATTTCTGTATACATATTGGGAAAGGGGAAAATAAGTAATGGCCCAGAAAACAATAGATATCTTCTTGGTTTTGTGGCTCTCCTTTGACTGCTTGACAGTTTTTCCTTATATTCTATGCTTTGCTTTATGCTTAAGAAGAAATTGTTTAAATTTAAGAAGCAGCTAGTCTATGTTATTCTTTTTACTTTCTCAGTTACTATTAGTTTAGTGAATTAGTATGTGAAGTCAATGCGCAACTACAAAGGAATTCAATAACTGTATTTATGCCAAAATAATTTATTGCAGCATCAGATAGAAACAGTCTAATTAAAAAGTAAAAAGGAATCATCTGGTACCTTATGAGTCAAAACAGATAAACATGGGTTTGTAGGTAAAAAGATGCCAAAAATGGGAAAAGACGAGTGGTCTTTTCTATGAAAATGGCTATGAAATTACTCTCCTCAGAAACTAAAGCAGTCATTTATTCACAGGTATTCCACAGGCTCTCAGGTCTGGTCTCTTTAAAAAAAAAAAACAAAAAAACAAAAGTGTATTGCTTTCCCGGTTAAGCTCTGCCTTGGGTTCTGTTACCTTAATTTTAGTCCATGGGTCTCCTGGGAACAGTGTATATGTTACCAAGACATAAGCATGTACAGGGTCCCTTGTGTTCCTTACAGCCATCACTGACAGTGGCTTTGAAGCCCAGCAATGACTGTCCTGGGTCTGTCCTTCTGAATTTATTTTTCTTTATTCTTCCACTGGGTGCTGCAGGCCAAAATTATTCATATGCTATTTACTGCATTTGTATTCAAATAGTCTGTAAGACCTTTCCATCTGCCACGCTTTTGGTAGCAGTGAGAGCTATCCCTAATACTTGGCAGACATTCTTCTATTCAAGAGGGAGAAACTAAGCACATACGAGCTATCATATGTGACCTCAGCATGATTTCAGAGCCCCCAATTTCTGAAAGTGAACAGAGCAGTTCCAAGAATACTCCTGATGTGAGCATCTTTGTAGAAAACATTAGAGCTGCATTGCAAATCTGCCACCACAGCTACTGACAGCTGATGGTACGGGCAATGCTGCAGTTCAGTGGAGAAGAATGACTCATTTCTGCACAAGCACGGGTCCTTTGAACTGAAGATTTCAACTCCCATGGCCGGGGTTAGCCCCTTGCACAGCTCTGTGACAGTCTATTTCCTCATTGAAATTCTGGAGTCACGGTTGATCACACATTCAAGATGATAGGAGTCTACCCTGCGGACTGGAACTGCTTCACTCGGAAGTCTTTTTGTTAGCTCCTGTCAGAGAGCCAGCATTAACATGTCCTAAGATCCTTGTCAAAGCAAAAGCAAGCTTTTTCTGAAGAATATTATGTTGGTGGAGCTGAATGAAAGCCTAGGAGGCAGCAATACTTCACTCACCAAAACATGATTAAAGAGACAAACTTAATGTTTAATTTAATCTTTAGGTAGTGAGACATTTTTAAGCACCTGAACTCAAAATCAAGACAGTAGCTAAACTGCAAGGGATATTGCCAAAACAGTGATTCTTTAAATTGCTGATAAAGACATCTCAAACATCTGTTAAGAACAAAATAAACTTTAAGCCTGTGAGGACTAGGAGAGAAGTAAAGAATGCAGTGCCTGTCTCACTAAAGAGGATGACTCTTTAAAACAACCGGTAGTCATATCAATGGGGTTTAAAACTTTTAGGGTGTTTCATACCTGCATTTCCATCTGACTGATACACCTTGGTGTCCCTGGCCTAGAAGCTATCATTCAGTAGGTGAATACCTTGATTTTGATCTAATACAGATGCAATTATTAAAGCAAGAGTGAGAGAAGTTTGTATTTATGATTATTTTGTAGACTGAAGTAATTATTTTTTCATGTAAGTGTGACAGGAGGGCTGGCCTGATTTTGAGGATCTAGACGAGTTATCCCAGAGCCCTACCTTTCTTCCACATGGAAAATGCCCTCAGGGCATTGGAAAATTTAATAAAAAACTTTAGTGATATCGAATATTATAATTAAGTAGAAGCTCACCAGATTAATTTGAGCATTATCACATGATCCAATCCATTATAAAATGTATTAATTTGGTTAGACTTGTAAGAAGTAACAAAAAAAGACTCCTGGAATGAATAAACTTTCTAAATGAATTTACAATGTGTGACAAATTAAGAAAATTACTGCAGGGTCTCATAAGTCTATACAAAACTAAGTTAAAATTAATGATAAATAAAAATGTGCTCCCTTTGTGGTTTACTTCCATCCAGCTGCATCCAGCTATGAAAGGGCTATCAGACAAAACACTAATTAGCAGTCAGTTCAAGACAGTTTCAGAAAGCAATCCATTGGCTTTCCAGCATCTTTTGATACTGCCACAATTTCAGGAAAGTGTCTGGAACTGCACAGTTCCATTGTTGCATGGGGGCAGGACCTGGTCAGGATGTTTGCAGGCTTGCTCTGCAATATGTGAAGGATAGAACAGCTCAGAATGGCACCCACGTGGACTGAGTGAGACATTGACAAGGCTGTGTCCTATTCTTTGTCTCCTTACAGTCTTCAGCAACTTGCTCACATGCCACAGGGAAGACTCTAAAGCCTTGAAAAACCTTTTCCTTGAAAAGCATTCCTTTTCCATGGAATGTGTGTGGTGGTGGCAGCAGTTACGGCTACGTAGCCTCTCTGGTGTGCATAATAGGGTCCACCACCTTTTCTGTGTATTTACTGATTTTTAGGGAAGTCAACCAAACACTAGTCCAGACTTGTGAACTCTTATTATTGTGCTCTCTTCATTGTCTCCTACAATAAGGTTTCCTTTCCCCTTCTGCTCAATCTGTTTCACTTTTTGAAGCTGTTACGTATCTACCAGACAGAAGACCAGGCATGTAACTTGTAGCCTCATGATTAGGGCATCATGATTTGGGCACTTTCTAGAGAAGACAATGCACTTCCACCTCTCACAGAAGCAAATGCTTAACCTCTGATACAGAGACTTCCATTGAAGGAAGGATTAAAACCCAGGTTTCTTTCAAGTGAATGCCCTAAAATGCCAGAGTAGAGCCTACTACTTTTTTCTTTGGCCCAGGAAATGATGATGATACTGGATTCTTCAAGAATTTTTAACAAAGCTTAACAAAGAGTTTATAAAGACCAATGACTATGCAAGGTCAAGATGTATGTTCTTCAAATAAAGATGGA